GAGTTGGAGGTTGCTGTGAGCGTGATGCCATGGCACTCTACCCAGGGGGACAGCTTGAGGCTCCATCTCAAAAAAAAAAAAAAAAAAAAAAGAATATTGAAATCATTGTGGGATAAACGTTTTATACTTATGTATATGTATTGTTTCTTAGGATAGATCCTTTTTATTGGGTTTGTTTTATTAAGTAGTATCTCTTTTTAAGCAGTATCTCTCTAAAGTCTTTTCTCCTTTACTTTTGGGGTATACGTGTCTTTGTTTAGTTTGTGGTCTTCAAGAGGAAAATGTAGCTATGTCACCAGAGAGCTCTTTAGGTATGAGATTTGTGTGTTATAGTGTGGTCTCTTCTCTTTTTCCTTAACCCCTCTTCATTTCAGCAGTCTCCTTTTTCCTGGGAAGCTAATGGCTTTTCTCCTGTAGTTCCCTCTAACATACTAAGTGAAACAAGGCTCTTTCTGAGGCTAATTTTCTTTTCCGGTGACTAATTTAGTACCACGGTTTGATGGCCTCCTTAGGATGGCAATGCATAACTTTTTGGAAAATCAGCATCTTTTTTGAGATTGAAAGAGGCACTTATTGGCCTTACCATGCTGTATGGTTGGTTTGGCAATTCGCATTATTAAATGTACTTTCTAGGGTGGTGCCTGTGGCTTGGTGGGTAGGGCGCTGGCCCCATATACTGAGGTGGTGGTTTTGAACCCAGCCCTCGGCCAAACTGCAACAAAAAATAGCCAGGCATGTGGCGGGCGTGTGTAATCCCAGTCTTGGGAAACTGAGGCAAGAGAATCGCCTAAGCCTAGGAGTTGGAGGTTGCTGTGAGCTGTTATGCCACAGCACTGTACTGAGGGCAATAAAGTGAGACTCTTGTCTCTACAAAAAAAAAAAAGTACGTCCTTATTTGTAGAATTTGAGACTGTACCTGTGTCCTGGTGCATTGTCCCTACCTACCATTTTTGTTGTTTTGGTGACTTTCAGTGGAAAAGAAGGAATAAATGCCCCTTTCCCATACATTGTCTTTAGCAGAATTTTTGCTCATTTATTTGTAATCTTCATTTATTTGTTTTGTTAAAATTTATGTATATAAATATGTATACATATAAAATATAAATATGTATAAATATATATAAATATACATATGTATATGTGTGTGTGTATATGTATTTGGAGACACCATCTCACTCTGTTGCCCAGGCTAGAGTGCAGTGGTGCAGTCATAGCTCACTGCAGCCTCAACTTCCTGTGCTTAAGTGTTCCTCCTAGCTCGGATTCCCAAATCGCTGGGGCTACAGATGTGCACTACTATGCCTAGCTAATACTTTTTAGGTTTTATACAGACAGGGTCTCATTATTGCCCAGGCAGTCTCAAACTGAGGTCTCAGTTGACCCTCTCTCATTGGCTTGTTGGAGTTCTGGTCTTACAAAGGCATGAGCCAGTGATCCTAGCTTTATTTCTACTCTTTATTGGCATATAGCCTCATTAAACAGGGTGTACAGATCTTAGGCATATAGATGGATGAGCTCTGAGTAGAATAACATATGTACCGGATATCCCAATCATGAAATTGAGCATTGCCATGTTCTAGAAAGTTGCCTTGGCTCGGAGCCTGTGGCTCAAGCGGCTAAGGCGCCAGCCATATACACCTAAGGTGGCGGGTTTGAATCCCCAGCCCGGGCCCGCCAAACAACAATCATGGCTGCAACTAAAAAATGGCTGGGCGTTGTGGCGGGTGCCTGTGGTCCCAGCTACTTGGGAGGCTGAGGCAGGAGACTCGCT